ATCAATTGAAGCAATTATATTTTATTGCAACATTGGCAAAAACTTTAAACAATTCGCCGTCATTAAGCGTTGAACTTTTTTTTGATGCCTGCGGCCAGAGCCCCTTTCGATGGCTTTTAGCAATATGCAAATGACGTTTTTTTTTTCTTTTGTTTGCTTTTTTCAGTGGTTTTTCAATTTGCCCCTCGAATTTCGCACAATTTGCTTTAGCGGCTTTAGTGCAAGTTTTTATAAGATTTTTCTTGGGTTTTGTTTATTTTTTCGTTTTCGCTTTGCTTACTCTTGCAGCTGGTTCTCCACTGTTACTGTTACTGTTACTGTTATTGTTAACTGTTACTGTTATTATTTTTGCACGCCTTGCTGCTTTCTCTGATGACATTTCGCCTGTCGACACACAGTCAACCCGTCGACAGTCTCAACTCTATCCATCCAGCTGTAAAAATATATTTCTATTTGTATTTGCATTGGTGTACAAATATTTTTTGGCTGCTCTTCTTGTTCAATTGCTCGAAATATTCATTATATATTGTGTCAATATTCGCAGCGAATTCTCATCGATTTGAATACCCAGCAATGATAACAGTCTCTATGAGGCATATCAAACTGAGCAGCTTGTACAAGGTGAAATACATATCTCTCTCTTTTTTAAATGGTAGTTATAAATCAATGATATGCATTCATTGACTACTGTCGCCGTTTGATATCGCAGATAATTCGTCTGGTCGATAAACGATTAAATGTATGCAAAGAGATAAGATATATTTTGGAAATATATGATTGCTGATTTGGGTAAACCAAATAAGCTGCGAATCGCAGCTTTTGCCATTCAAATCCAATTTACTATCACATTTCATGTCAAGTCCTATAGACTATATATGTATCTGTGAGATACATTTGTGCCTGCATAATTTTGTTGACGAGTTGACAGTTAGCGATTGCCACAAACTCATTAGAATTGCGGTTGGAGAGGAGCCTGGGCTCGCTGGGGCAGGGAATGCAGTTGGTTATTCTGTGGTAAATGTCAATTACAACGCTCTCACA